AACTCCATTTCTGATTTAACCCCAATTTAGCCCAATTTCATCAATTAACCAATTTTAACCATAATTTCAATTTTGACCCCAATTTTAACCCTAATTCTTATCAATTCCACCGATTATGCTCTAACTTCCTTAATATTACACATTGACCCTGGATTTTAACAAATATATTACATTAACCCCCAAAACTTTTTTTTTTCTGAAAATAATTTTTTTTCTGAAATATTTTTTTTTCAGGCCAGATTCCGGCGTTGACTTTTTTTTTTTTTTTCTTAAAAAAAATATTTAAATTAATTTTACTGTCTTGGCTGCTAAATTACTGTCTCCGGCAGCTATTTAACTGTCGGAGATAGTAATTTAACTGTTAATTGACTGTTTTTTTTTTTTTTTCTTCAAAAATATTTTAATTAATATTACTGTATTCGTTGCAAAATTACTGTCTCCAGCAGTTATTTAACTGTCGGAGACAGTAATTTAACTGTTAATTGACTTTTTTATTCTTAAAAAAAATATTTTTAATTAATATTATTGTATTCGTTGCTAAATTACTGTCCCCAGCAGTTATTTAACAGTCGGAGACAGTAATTCAACTGTTAATTGACTTTTTTATTCTTAAAAAAAATATGTTTAATTAATATTACTGTATTCGTTGCTAAATTACTGTCTCCAGCAGTTATTTAACTGTCGGAGACAGTAATTTAACTGTTAATTGACTTTTTTATTCTTAAAAAAAATATTTTTAATTAATATTACTGTATTCGTTGCTAAATTACTGTCTCCAGCAGTTATTTAACTGTCGGAGACAATAATTTAACTGTTAATTGACTTTTTTTTTATTTTTCTCCTTCAAAAAAATTTATTTTAATTAATATTACTGTCTTGGATGTTAAATTACTGTCTCCAACAGTAATTTAACTGTCTTAGACAATAATATTAATAATATTACTGTTCGGAAAAATAATATTCATAATATTACTGTCCCAAACAGTAATATTACTGTCTGAGACAGTAATTTAGTAGTCAAAACAGTAATATTAATTAAAATATTTTTTTTCTAAGAAAAGACAATTCAAAATAAAAAAAAAAAAAGTCAACGCCGAAGACCGGCGGTCAACGGTGGTTGACTGGCCGGAAAAAAAATTCAGGAAAAAAAAAATTTCAAAAAAAAAAAAAAAAAAAAAAAAAAGTCAACGCGGAGACCGGCGGTCTCCGGCGGTCAACGCCGGAATCTGGCCGGAAAAAAAGCATTTCAGAAAAAAAAATTATTTTCTGAAAAAAAAAGTTTTGGGGGTTAATGTGATATATTTGTTTAAATCCGGGGTCAATGTGTAATATTAAGGAAGTTAGATCATATTGGGTGGAATTGATAAGAATTATATTATTAAGGGTACTTTAGACTAAAGACATGGGGATGGGCTTAATTGAGAGACTGTTTTTTTTGTGGACTAAAATGCATTTAAGTCCCATGTGATGGGCCTTTTTGCCATTTGCCCTACGAAGAGATGCAAAATATGTTTTCAAACCATGTTTAAAGTTGTTGGAAAAAAAGTGTTTTAGGATAGAATATTAAAAAAATAAAATGATGTTTGTTTGTTTTTTAGTGAATATATTTTTTTACCGTAGCATTCAAATCACGTTTGATGGAGAAGAAATTTTTTTAATTTATTTTTGGGAGAAATATGGAAAACGTTTAAAATAGAGCAAGAAACATGTGCAAGACCAAGAAACTAGAATAGCCAAAATTACACGGAACCATGATGGCACAGTTGTAAGAAAAAGACAAAATAAAGCATGAAGATATTTATGCTGATGTGGACAATATTGTACATAAGTGTTCTTATTAATTATTATCGTTCTTTTTTGAAGGGATATGATTTGGTTGCTTGTACACATCCACACCTTTACATCAATCTATCCACATCATCAGGCTATAGTTAGCTGGTCTTGCAAGCAAAAGCCACAAGTGCACGGTTCTTAATTAAAAATTTGGACCCGTGTTAATATATTTTTCTACATTTGTGTTATTGAAAAGTTTAATTAATTATTTAATTTTCATCGTTAATCTAACTATCACGGTCTCTTGTATCATCATTTATCGTATTTTAATATTTATACTTGTATATATATTTATGTTCTAAGATGGATTAATTAATAATTAGCATTGAATTCTTTATTTTAAATTTTAACTATTATTTTATTTTATTTTAATTAATTTGATTGCATTAATAAAATAATAGGGACCTCATTAAAAATCTTGTTGGCCGAGATAAGGAAAAGAGCGTCCCTTACAAAGCCTATGCAATAAAATAGGGGAAATTAGCCGGAGGTTATTAAAAAATTATTTACTGTCATTTTGCTAAAGGTCCTTGTGTGTTCTCTGTCTACATCTATTGCTAGGCCTGGGATCTTTTTAACTGAATTTTGCGAATAGTAATGGTGACGCGGTGATTTACACAGTCGAGTTATATTAATAAGCCACATCTTAGTTATATTAATAAACAACAACTTAGTTAAAAAAAATTGAAGAAAAAACTAAAACAAAAATAGATGCATCCCACAACAAATAGGCAACTTACACACACGACTTAGAAAACTTATTTACAGACCTTAGTTACATTACCGAGCAAAAGTTAGAAAAAACACATGTTTTTAATGTAATTTTACTATGAAGTTAGACAACTTAAACAACTTAGCTACACAGTTTAGACAACTTAGTTACGCAATTTAGACAGTTTAATTACGCAACTTAGTTAAAATAAGTTGAAGAAAAAAACTTCAATCTCTGGTGGGTACATCACCATCAAAATTACCACCACCATCACAATCACCATCACCAAACAATTCTTCATATGTTTTGTTTTTCTATGAGATGAATGTGTGTAACCAAAATTGTATGTGATGCTTGTGTGTGGATGTGTATGTGTGTATGCAAGTGTCTATGTGTGTATGCCTTTGTGTGGCTGTGTGACAGAATTTCGGCGATGGCAACGATGAAGAGCGGAGGCGCGGCATATTTGACGGAGTGTAACAAAGTTGGACTGATTCTGACGAAGGCGGTCAGATCTGACAGGACGAAGGCGCATTTGGAGAACAAAAGACTTTTTAGCAAATTGCAAAATTTTGTTTATCCAGATTTGAAAGGGTATTACGAATTTACGATGGAGGGGTGTTTAGCAAATTGCCCCAATAAAATAACGGAGAAAAGACTCCTATAACTATGCAATTTGCTACAAATAATAAAACTAGCAGAGAGACACCGCAGGAGGATTCCAGCGAACCAATATCTCTCTGTTTGCTCTTAACTTTGGTTACTTGCATGCAAGACTAAAGTTTGAAGAGTCTTGGCTTCTAACATATTCGACCTCTTCTTCGGTTGATAAACAAACGTCAACGTATGCAACTGATATTTAATCCGGAGAAGAATGTTGGAAGGAAGCATCTGAATATCTGCAAACACTGCCCCACACCATGCATTCCGAAGCTCACAAAAAGTAAACATCGACAACCCTGTTCGAATCGCTGTATATTGTGTTAACCGACTTGTGCGAGGCGACCACAACTTAATGGCTAATTGATTAATATAAGAATATTGGCTCGTAATATCGAGTAAGTCTCCACAGAATTTCCAGACGACCTGCCGACGCAATCTGAAAATAAAAACAAATGATCAATGGTTTGCTCTTTAGGCGCCAAACAACAACGGTAACGAGACACCATTGGAACCCCCTTGGATCGAACTTGTTGGTCCACCGGCAAAGCCTTATGCATGAGCTTCCACATAAAAGCACAAACATTGTAAGGAATGAAATGTCGCCAGGTTCGACTGCCCAACACACTATTTGGCAGTTTATCACGACAATACTCCCAATACACTTTCAAAGAATTTTTTCCATAATCCGTACGTAAGTGTGAAAACCAAACGATCCGCAATATCAGGTTGCAAACGGACATTTCGAATCTTATAATGTAGCTCATGTATGTTTAATAAATGGAAGGTATCTTTGCAGCTGAGGAATGGCCTCATACACACGAAGCTTGCTATCTTGGCGGATTGAATCTTGCAGCCGTTCACCAATCCAATCATCCGTCCAAATTAACCCAGTGAAGACGAGAATTCCATTTACACTCCAAAGAAAGAACGCCATCAACTGTTCCAACCTGTTAACAACAGACTTTGGAATTTTCGAACATGCCATTGTGTAGATTGGGATACTAGCAAGAACTGATTTGATTAACATGACTCGACTCCTCCACCAAATGTAAGAAATTTCTTTTTCCAACCCTCAAGCTTAGATTGAACCCTATTAACCAAATTAAATGCTCATAATACTCCGTCGCCCCTCGAAATGATTTGAAATGTTCTGACCTTTAACAAATCCCGCTTGTTCCTCATCAATCGAAGTATAGTTATTTGCATCACCGCCATGCAAATAACTTTGAACCCTAATTTCCAAGCTAGAGTTTGAATATACATGTGAGGCACTTTTGGTTCAAATGAAAACTAGAAGATCCATCTCTGGTGTTGGAGAACAAGGATCTTAAAATGATCCACGGATTATTTATTCTCAACGCCCCTTGTGTTCCATACGAGGCACGACATATCAACACAACTAGGATGTGTTTGAAGGCTTGGCTAAGGATCGGGTCATCCGATCGCTAGGAGCCACAACTTTCTTACACGAATCATCTGACCTCACGTGAGCAATATTAACAACTTTCTCACCGTTGCTCTGAACGAACGCTGGGTTATCTTCTACTGTATTAGTCTGCTCTTCTTACAACACAGTTGATCGTTTTAGAATTTGCGGATTAATAATTTTAGGTGTGTCATTCTTCCCGGTCGCCACTACTGGTTGTTTTTTTACGACAGGTAACAACCGCATGACCAAGCGAACCACAGTGAGTGCATAAACAAACCTGCCTTCATATTCCACCGATTGCCACCATCCCTTTTTCCGTCGAAGAACCCACAAAAATCCGTGGGAGCAACGGTTTGGAGACATCAATTTCCACGCGAATACGAGCATACATAGAGTGTGTAAGACCCAATGCGCGATCATTAACCAATCTTTTGTAAGGAGACCATGATATATATATATATATATATATATATATATATATATATATATATATATATATATATATATATATATATATTCTTTTTCTTTTTACCCCATTAAACACTTGGTAGGTTAAGTCATCGTAGCTCCCAGCAATAGATCCGTCGGATTTTTCAAACGGGGCGTATTCGTATCGGACCGAATAAGGCAGTGCCGCCATGACAGAATCGAACAAATCGATGTAGTATCCAGTAACTGTGGTAGCATTTGTTTGAGGATCCTTTTGTACATTTACATATTCTGCAAAACCAATGTCTACCGGAACTCCAACTCTAAGCTTCTTACCACTTACCGGAACCTCCCATCCCTTTGGTACATTCCTCGATTCTCCGGGCCATATAATATTCTCCAATTTCTCACCTACAAAACCCGTCATGTTCGTGTTCCTTTGACTCGAAATTTGCGAAAATGGTTTCCATATTCCAACTTCTCTCAGCGCATTCCCATTTACATTCAATATTTGGAAAGACCACGACTCTAATTGCCCGTTAACCAAATTGAAATTCCCGGCGAGACCTTCGAATTTAGTATCCAACATTGCTGCAAGTAGTTTCGGGCCTGTTTGTGACGTTTCAGTAACAAACATGTCGGTAGAGTTGAGAGAAGTTGCGTTTGGCAAAGAAGCCGGCTCCTTAAATCCGGTTTTCTCAGCAGCCATAGCCAATGCCCACAACGTATCATAAGCCCATAACCCGTAAAGGTTAATCTCGTCTTGTGGAGTAATTCCTGGATTATCATCTGCAAACTTCTTCTTCCACCTTATAGTGGTGGAATCGAGTTTACTCGATCTTGGAACAAGAGGTTTTACGCCAACAACTCCTTGCATGGACTCTACGACTTTCGAGTCCAACGAGTAGAATAAATCCACGAGGCCGCTGGTTGCTATCCACGCGTAGCCTTCACTCATCATTTCTGCTTCCTTCGCTTTGAGGAAGATTCTAGAAGCAACCGATCTCGAAGCATGCACCACAAACACCCTTGTCTGCATTGATTTCATCTTGTACATCTCTTTGAGGACGAAATCGTCACTTGCCGAGACGGGAATAACGCTTCTGTACGAAACACGAGCGTTCACTAGTTGAAATGCATTGGACAAGTAAGGTATGATCCCATTGCCGTAGTCAGAATCTTCGTACACGAAAACAACTTGATACCAACGGAAGTACTTAACTACGGCAGCGATGGCATCGGCTTGAGCAGCATCGTTTATGGCTGTTTGGACGAAATATGGAGTTTGAGGGCGGAGAGAAGAACTTGTTGCCGTGAACGAAATGACGGGCACTTTCGCCGAACCTCCGAGACCAATCACAAAGTTTGCTTGTGCAGATGTTTGAGGACCGATTATCGCATCAACTTGCACTTCCTTCAACAAATTGAGAGCTGCATCTGTTAGAATTTATTTCGTGCAGATATAAATTATTTGTGTCCGATTAAGTTTTTCGTTACTGTTGCGTGAAGTGTTGCAACAGTTCGTGAAGCAGTTCGTAAAAACAGAAATAAACGAGACACAAATTTTAATGTGGTTCGGATACAATTGTACCCTACATCCTGTACCCTACATCCACGGGGACCTGCAAATAAAATTTACTAATTTTTAGTTTTACGAATACAATAATAGGACTTAATCGAAATACAAAGACTCTCTCTTTGTCGACGCCGTTCTTGTATACTACGCTGAATTATCAATCTTCACTTTGCAGCACGTCCCTTGCTCCGCACGGTTGAACTCCCTTCAACGCTGAATCCCTCAATCGGCGGATCGATCTCCTCCCGAGATCTGTTTAAGCCCCTCTCCCGAAGAACCGATCTTCTTTTTGTATAGAAGAAGCAAACTTGTGATACTCCTTGAATCTTGGTGTCTTCACCACAAAGCCTTGAAGCCGGTATATTTTCTATGAAAATCACGTATCACGATGGAACAATAAAAGACGAGAGGAAAAATATTTTTTGTGAAAAACTTCTCTCGATCAAAGACGTTCCGGGAGCAGCAAAAATAAGAGCAGAAAAATATAATTTTTCTCTCCAATAAAACGCGTGCAACAGCAGCAAAGAAAGGAGAGATCTGTTTTTTCTCCGAGAAGACACACACACGAAACGATGTGCTGTGCTGCTATTTATACTCTATGTTGAATAAAAGAGCCCTACAAAAGATTAAAGCCCATTAGGTTCATAATCAATCTTTACGTAAGGAAATAAGAAATTGTATAATAAAGAAAGTCTTTGTCAAAGAAAGTCCTTGTTAGCACATGACTTATACAATTAAATAAATTAATGACAAAATAAGAGTTTAAAGCATTAAGGAAACTTCCCTAGCTTTAGACACACGGTTTTCATATACGTGCTGAAAAACCAAAATCAGAATCCTCTCGGATTCTAACAGCATCCATAGCATATAAATACAATCATGTGAGTTCATCACTTGATAATTCAAATATCACACATCAAATATTCTATATCTATCTATATCTATACTTTTTTCTTTTTCTTTTTTTATATTTATATTTATGTTATATTATATTTTATATTTATTCACTTATAAAAGGATGAATAATATAGAGATTTCTTCCCTTTTTTTATGTAAAAAAACCTTTAGATAATTAATCTAGAAGGTCAAATAAGTAATTAAGTTAGTAGTATATATATTAAAATAATTACAAAATTTGTTTGTCCCATGCGATTCCATTTCATTCATCCATTAGCATTCATTGAATAGCAAAGTTAAACAATTGCATTAATTAAAATATTTATGATTTATGCAAGCAATACAATACATGCATCTTAATATTCAGAGCTCCATATTTTTTTTCGGCCAGATTCCAACGTTGACTTTTTTCTTTTTCTGAAATTTTTTTCCGGTCGGTCAACCGCTGTTGACACTTTTTTTTTGAATTTTTTTATTAAAAAAAATATTTTAATTAATATTCATGTCTTGGCTGCTAAATTATTGTCTCCAACAGTAATTTAACTATTAAGAAAAAACAAATTTTAGAAAAAAAAACTTAATTAACAGTTAAATAACTGTTGGAGACAGTAATTTAGCAGCCAAGACAGTAATATTAATTAAAATACATTTTTTAAGAATTTTTTTTTTAAGTCAATAAATTGTTAAATTACTGTCTCCGACAGTTATATTACTGTTGAAGACAGTTATTTAACAGCCAAGACAATAATATTAATTAAAATAATTTTTTTTAAGAAAAGAATTTCAAAAAAATAAAAAAGTCAATGCCGGAGACCGGCCGGAAAAAAATTCAGAAAAAAAAAAGTTCAAAAAAAAAAAACAAATCAACGCCGGAAACCGGCAGTCAACAGCGATCTTCGCGGTGGCGGGTCAAAATTGGTTAATTGGTGAAATTGGGCTGAATTGGGGTATAAATTATGAAATTGGGGTTGAATTGGGTTTCAAGCAATTGAGGGTAATTTTGGTATATATAAAAGAATTTTCCTTATTTGCAAATAATTTTGAATGAGCTGAAATTATTTGAAAGACAAAAAAGTTGAATGTCTAATTATAATTAAGTGCCCTTGTCATGTGGCTCTTCGTATTAAGTCATTTAATATATATATA